AAAAAAACAAGGGCTGTCATTAGAACTAGCAAGATGTGGGCTAGAATTGGTGGGATACAAGCTAGAACTGGTGGGATAGGAGCTAGAACTAACGTGGAACCAAGAAATAAAAACTTAGCGTGAAAAAAACAAGGGCTGTCATTAGAACTAGCAAGATGTGGGTTAGAACTGGTGGGATACAAGTTAAAACTGATGGGATAGGAGCTAGAACTAACGAGGAACCCAGAAATAACAACTTAGCATGAAAAAACAAGGGCCGTCATTAGAACTAGCAAGATGTGGGCTAGAACTGATGGGATACAAGTTAGAACTGGTGGGATAGGAGCTAGAACTAACGAGGAACTAAGAAATAACAACTTAGCGTGAAAAACTCTAGGGATGTCATTAGAACAAGCAAGATGTGGGCTAGAACTGGTGGGATACAAGCTAGAACTGATGAGATAGGAGCTAGAACTAACGTGGAACTAAGAAATAACAACTTAGCATGAAAAAAACAAGGGCCGTCATTAGAACTAGCAAGATGTGGGCTAGAACTGATGAGATACAAGTTAGAACTGGTAGGATAGGAGCTAGAACTAATGAGGAACTAAGAAATAACAACTTAGCGTGAAAAACTCTAGGGCTGTCATTAGAACTAGCAAGATGTGGGCTAGAACTGGTGGGATATAAGCTGGAACTGGTGGGATAGGAGCTAGAACTAACGTGGAACCCAGAAATAACAACTTAACATGAAAAAAACAAGGGTTGTCATTAAAATTAGCAAGATGTGGGCTAGAACTGGTGGGATACAAGCTAGAACTGGTGGGATAGGAGCTAGAACTAACGTGAAACCCAGAAATAGGAACTTAGCATGAAAAACAAGGTTTGACATTAGAACTAACAAGATGTGGGCTAGAACTGGTGGGATACAAGTTAGAACTGGTGGGATAGGAGCTAGAACTAACGTGGAACCCAGAAATAGCAACTTAGCGTGAAAAAAACAAGGGCCGTCATTAGAACTAGCAAGATGTGGGCTAGAACTGGTGGGATACAAGTTAGAACTGATGGGATAGGAGCTAGAACTAACGAGGAACTAAGAAATAACAACTTAGCGTGAAAAACTCTAGGGCTGTCATTAGAACTAGCAAGATGTGGGCTAAAAATGGTGAGATACAAGCTAGAACTGGTGGGATAGGAACTAGAACTAACGAGGAACTAAGAAATAACAACTTAGCGTGAAATACTCTAGGGCTGTCATTAGAACTAGCAAGATGTGGGTTAGAACTGGTGGGATACAAGCTAGAACTGGTGGGATAGGAGCTAGAACTAACGTAGAACCCAGAAATAACAACTTAGCATGAAAAAAACAAGGGCTGTCATTAGAACTAGCAAGATGTGGGCTAGAACTGGTGGGATACAAGTTAGAACTGGTAGGATAGGAGCTAGAACTAACGTGGAACCCAAAAATAGCAACTTAGCGTGAAAAAAACAAGGGTCGTCATTAGAACTAGCAATATGTGGGCTAGAACTGGTGGGATACAAGTTAGAACTGGTGGGATAGGAGCTAGAACTAACGAGGAACTAAAATACATGCAAATTATATGCATCAACCGCCAGAGCAGTTGCATACGTCAACCACTTCGTGGCCGTTCGAAACTTGGGGCATGGACATTGTTGGTCCTATTTTTCCCCCTTCAGTCAAAGGTGATCGGTTCATCCTCGCGATCATGGGATACAAGTTAGAACTGGTGGGATAGGAGCTAGAACTAACGAGGAACTAAGAAATAACAACTTAGCATGAAAAACTCTAGGGCTGTCATTAGAACTAGTAAGATGTGAGCTAGAACTGGTGGGATACAAGCTAGAACTGGTGGGATAGGAGCTAGAACTAACGTGAAACCCAGAAATAACAACTTAGCATGAAAAAAACAAGGGCCGTCATTAGAACTAGCAAGATGTGGGCTAGAACTGGTGGGATACAAGTCAGAACTGGTGGGATAAGAGTTAGAACTAACGTGGAACCCAGAAATAGCAACTTAGCGTGAAAAAAATAAGGGCCGTCATTAGAACTAGCAAGATGTGGACTAGAACTGGTGGGATACAAGTTAGAACTGGTGGGATAGGAGCTAGAACTAACGAGGAACTAAGAAATAACAACTTAGCGTGAAAAACTCTAGGGCTGTCATTAGAACTAGCAAGATGTGGGCTAGAACTGGTGGGATATAAGCTGGAACTGGTGGGATAGGAACTAGAACTAACGTGGAACCCAGAAATAACAACTTAACATGAAAAAACAAGGGTTGTCATTAAAATTAGCAAGATGTGGGCTAGAACTGGTGGGATACAAGCTAGAACTGGTGGGATAGGAGCTAGAACTAACGTGAAACCCAGAAATAGGAACTTAGCATGAAAAACAAGGTCTGACATTAGAACTAACAAGATGTGGGCTAGAACTGGTGGGATACAAGTTAGAACTGGTGGGATAGGAGCTAGAACTAATGTGGAACCCATGAATAGCAACTTAGCGTGAAAAAAACAAGGGTCGTCATTAGAACTAGAAAGATGTGGGCTAGAACTGGTGGGATACAAGTTAGAACTGGTGGGATAGGAGCTAGAACTAACGAGAAACTAAGAAATAACAACTTAGCGTGAAAAACTCTAGGGCTGTCATTAGAACTAGTAAGATGTAGGCTAAAACTGGTGGGATACAAGTTAGAACTGGTGGGATAGGAGCTAGAACTAACAAGGAACTAAGAAATAACAACTTAGCGTGAAAAACTCTAGGGCTGTCATTAGAACTAGCAAGATGTGGGCTAGAACCGGTGGGATACAAGCTAGAACTGGTGGGATAGGAGCTAGAACTAACATGGAACCAAGAAATAAAAACTTAGCGTGAAAAAAACAAGGGCTGTCATTAGAACTAGTAAGATGTGGGCTAAAACTAGTGGGATACAAGTTAGAACTGGTGGGATAGGAGCTAGAACTAACGAGAAACCCAGAAATAACAACTTAGCATGAAAAAACAAGGGTTGTCATTAGAACTAGCAAGATGTGAGCTAGAACTGGTGGGATACAAGCTAGAACTGGTGGGATAGGAGCTAGAACTAACGTGGAACCAAGAAATAAAAACTTAGCGTGAAAAAAACAAGGGCTGTCATTAGAACTAGCAAGATGTGGGCTAGAACTGGTGGGATACAAGTTAGAACTGGTGGGATAGGAGCTAGAACTAACGATGAACCCAGAAAATAACAACTTAGCATGAAATAATATGACTGTGAGGTACATTTATAACAACGATTTATAACACGCGTCCACAACTTGCAACGTTTTTTAACAATGATTTATAACTATCAACGAATAGTTTCCTTCCATTACAGCAGCAAAATTTGACAGAAACTATCTTCATGTGGTGTTGCGGACCAGAAAGAACCTGGGTCCTCATTTGTTGCTTCCCTCGCTTGAGCGGTAGATGTCTGATAAAACTTTATCACTACTAGTTCTCTTACGCTTTCCGCGCGTGGATGATGGAGAGCTGGACTTTGATGAAGAACTTTGCGAGCCTGAAGCGTTTCCTGGCTGAGGAGAATTGACGGTGCGGTGAGCCGCCCCCAGATTGGAAGGGCCGATCCCTTGGTTTGGGAGAAAGCGCTGCCACTATTCTCTATCCACAGTTATGTGCCTACCGTCCCAACTAACATCCTGCAACTTTGGATCATAACTAATAGGCTGCACATGCTGTGAACCTAAGTTAAGGCGAGTGGATCCCTGAGCCCTCTCCAAACCCGGCCTGCATAGGACCTGCGTCACGGCGTAGCCTTCCTTTAAGTTTTCGTCAACTGGAGATGTGTAACGGAACCCAAGCCTCTTAGGGATGTCAGATAAATCCCTAACCTTGAGGAGAACTTTACAGTCTTCGAAGTTAGTATTGCTTATGACGTCCCAAATAGTGGATAACTTCGAAATCCCAAATAATGGATAAACTAGCACTTACTGTTTTTCTGGGGGGGAGGGTACGATGGCACGGCCAGCCCTTGCCGTTCTTCTTTGGCGGTTTCGCCATTCTAGGGTATTCTTTTGCATTACCATGAGGGTTTGAGTGGCTTCCTCTGCGCTGCCAACCCCAGACGAACCGTCTTTTTCCTTCAAATCGCCGCGATGAGAGATTTCGTAGTCATTTACAGATTCCGCTTCCCTGGACGATATTTTCCGGTGAAAAACCTAGACCGTGAAAATAAACTTCGTCGCTGGAAATGGAAGTTCGAGAGTTTCGGTGGCTCTTTTGTATTTTGGAAGAAAGTAAAAAATAGAGGCGGTGTAAAAGAGGCGCTGTAATCGAGTCCAGCCCATTTAATGAGATGTGACAAAGCGTCTGGGGAAGAAGGAGAAGGGCAAAGTCGGGTTTTTACAAAATATAATGCCTCTGATGATTGTATACAGCTGACGTGAAGGGCCCTAGAAATATTAGAGGCTGCTTTTAGGGGCTTATACACAAGGGGAAAAATACAATGGGCCTCGTCACATGGTTTTCCAGCTTTTGGGGCCCCGACACATTTTTCCCTAATAAATATGTTTTCACTTTTGACAATATGTAGATTATAACATAGTAAAATTTTAATTGTTGTATTTGTATTCATTTATATCTAAAACTTTATTTTAGAAAAGAACATTATCATTTGGTATTTATTTTTTTTAACATTAATTGTGATAAATATTTAATTATTAATATCTAATTATATACACATATCATAGTTCATAGAATGTTCTAGAAAAGAAAATAGAGAATAAAAGAAAGGGGGAAACATCAACTTACCCTCCTAAATACATATGCATGGGCAACAAGATACTTTTTAGCTACTTTTATTCGGATTTGTGTAGGTGCCGGCCCCCTACGTCAACGAAATGGTGGTTAACTGGGTGCACCCAAATTGGGTCCACAAACTTATTCTATACTCGTACGTAAACCTTTTCCCACTACAAATGCAGAGATATTGGGAATTATTGGGAATTCATCCTCTCAAAAAGGAAAAAAAAAAAAAGAAAGAAAGAAAGAAGATTCATTCACACAAATCCGCTGTACAGTGCAAAATGCACTACGCCTCCCCTTCGGATGACCCCAAAAATGGAAAAACAAAGTAAATTTCCAAAAACAGCCTTAAACACATCCGGAACCACGAAAGGGTACTGAATCACAAAGATTCATCGCATAATGTAACGACACACTTTGATACCCCCTTCAACCATCTCTCCTCTCCTTGAATTTTCCAAATTTGAAGATGAGCTGTTCAAAGGTGAGCATTTTCATTTAGGTTGGAATTTTACAGCGGGTCACGATTGGTTTTAGGATTTAATTCTTGTTTTATGATGTGGGTTTGGTTTGTTTTCGGGTTTTTTTATTTTATTTTTATTTTATTTGTCAAGATCTTGATCTTTTGAAGATCATAAGCCCTAGCTAGAAAAAGACCCAACATTTGGTTATCATTTCTCACAGAGATCCCAGAAGAAACCCAAATGGGTTTGAGTTTCTTCACTCTTTTGAGATTTAGGTTACACTGATGAGCTTTAATATTTACTGATTTCCTTAGTTTAATATAGAAATGTGAAACAAGGTAATAGAGCCATAACGACAGTCTCTTGTCTCTCGAGGAAGAAAATCCAATGCATCTTTGATCCTTGGATTCTCATCAGCCAAATTAGGAGCCCTTTTCTTTTCTTTTCTTTTCTTTTCTTTTTTCTTCTCCAATTTTGAACTTTTCTTCTCCTTGATCAGAAGTTCTTTCTCTTTTTAGGGGTTTCAAAATGAAAATTTTCCGTGCAATATAACATTTTATATTAATATATTGTCTTAGAGACGGGATTAGTTCTGATTTTGGGTCACACATAAAAGAGAATTCGGTTCTTTTGGTGGTTGTCGATACCTTCGAATTGCTCGGGATAATCCCAGTTGAGTTTGAATCATACTGAGTGAAAACAGATACGTCGCACGTATTAATTTCTAGATATCTTTGTAGTACAAATTATGTCAACTAAAACTTCGGTCTACAACTCCTCCTAAAAGTAGATTTTTCTGAGTAGTCATTTCTTTTAGCCATTATGATCTACAGAGCACCGCTAAAATGGAAAGAAAGTAAAGAGTTGAAGATAATTAAATAAGTTTTCGAACCGATTGCCAACCTAATGTCAAGCCTTATATCAACCAGATCTATCAGTTGACATGTTTTTCTGATGATGTAGTCTTATTAGCTAATCAAACTCATCTTTAAGGTGCGAAGACAAGAGTTGCTGCAAACATTGTCGACTGCTCTGTATTTTTGGATAGTGTTGGTAGTAAGCAATATCATGAGCAGTCGGCCAATGGACAAGATATTCTAATAAGCCAAATTCAACAATAGAAAATGAGTCATGCCTTATAATAACAATAATAATACAGATAAAGCAGAAACATAGAAGTCATACGCACTTAGATTATCCTGGGTGATTGGCCAGTGAATGATGCACGCAATAGAGCCAGTACGGTAGTTGCAGATATTTAATATGGATAGTTACCATTTGAGGATCGTTAAGAGAAGGTGCCCGAGGGAAGGTGAACGACGATAGCTCTCTTTGGGCTGTCTAGGATAAAATGTTGTTATGTTCATCTCAACATTTACATTTTTCTTGTTATAATTTCTCATTCCGGGATCTCAACATCCTGATTCTGTTTTTTCTTGTACCCTTTTCTTGATTCTAACTATCCTTATATACAAGTAGTTGAATTCGTGCTTTGAGGTCTAGATAAGCTCTAAGAGAGTGATAACCTTGTCGAGGGGGTGATATATGTTTTAGATTCCACACAAGTTAGGAGGATAATCTGTCTTGTTGTGGGGTGATTTTCTAGGGTGGGTTAGTTTTCTACTATCAAATTCTTGGATAATTTCTTTCTTTCTTTCTTTCTTTTGTTTTTGTTTTTGTTTTTTGTTTTTTGTGCTATTGTCTATTTCCTGATTTATTTCTTCCTCTGAACATGAGTTAATTTTTAAAAGATGTAAAAACAATTTTAAGCCTAGCTCTTCAAGTTATAATATTCATATTCTAGTCCTTTTTTTTACGGAACATCATTCTTATTATGTTTTATTTTTAATTTTCTTTATGTGATACATAGAAAACGATCTTGTTTTTTATAATCAAACATTTACATATGAAAATAATCAACCATTTACCTATGAGACTTGGGCATAATGAACTTTTCATGACTTCTGCAGGGCAAAGTTTGTAGCATGTGTGGTAATGTTGGATTTGCTGAAAGAGTTGTTACTTGTTCTACATGCAAGAAAATATCACAGCATATGTAAGTCTTCTATACTCCTTCAAGCTTCAACTAAGGATAGAAGCTCAGTTGGATATTATTATTATTTTCTAAACCATACTGGAGATTTGATAAACCAAGCCATTTCTGTGTTATGCTTTATCTACGGTAGGTTCTATCTGTCCCTTATTCTTCTTTGCTTATTTTTCCATTTTTCAACTGATCCTTGAGCATACATTTGAGTTTTACCAACCAAAGGTCCTAGATCTGGTTGTTTTATAAAATACTCCACGTTTAATAATTAATTTAAACTGTGAAAATCACAATCATTTTAGTAGGTTTCAAGGTATTTTTGTAAAGTAAAGAACTTTGTCATTAATATTCATGCACACAAGTCATAAACCTCAATTTATGAAGTGAAATAATATCAACTTTTATATTTCTACTGAAGTGAAAAGTACTTTTAACAATGACTCTTAACTTTGACACGAACTTTTTGTCTGATTCCTCAAGGTCATCTGCATGAATTATTCTTCTCCTTGTCAAGCTATATTTCATAAATATTAACTTATTTTAGGTGGCGTAAACTAACCTTCGTTCATTAGGGTTTTTTAAGTATGACACAAACAGCAAAACAGGAGCTAAGAAAAACTTCTTGATTAAGACTTAGTTTTTGTTTAGAACTCCATATGCATTATATTCTAGTAAATTTGGATTATCTCCTACATCTTAGTTAGGAAAATACTACAACTTCCAATCTGGTCATTCCAAAGAATCCTTTCCAGACTTCTGCCTACAATCTAGACCGTCGCCTCTATTCCTTGAATAATCACTTGTGCAACCTTAATTCATATCCATTTTGATCCTTATCTGGTTAGTTTCATGAGTTTGAGGTACACTGTGTTGTAAAGTGTTTGCACCTTAAAGGAGAGATATATTTTTCTTCCTCCTTTTATTTGAGCCCTCCATATCTTCGAGGTTATGTCTAGAACCTTCCATTGTCTTGATAAATCAAGAAGATTTATCCCCATCGCCATAAACATTCAGCTACGAGTCTATGATACTACTACCCGTCAACTAACTGACCTCTTTGCAAGGCTTCTTGCATATTGTTCTCTAAGCTAATATTTACATCCACCACAACAGAAGATGGCAGTTGCCTGTTGTTCTCTAAGCTAAGATTTACATCCACCAGAAGAGAAAAAGGTGGTACATCGACAGCTAGAAAGCTTTACATTCCATCTGAGTTTAAATGCATTACTGGAGTTGTCCTCTATGGCCAAGCCTATTATGCTGATAAATCATAGGCCTGAAGAAAGATAACCAGTTTTCCCCTTTCCCCCCTTTTTGGTGTTTCAGATATTGCATGCAGAAACCGCCTGTTGGTACTCCTAATAACTGGCATTGTGAACAATGCACTGTCACACATAAAGTAAAGCCTCCAAGAAGGGGCACTATTCTAATTGATGTGATAGATGGTGGGAAAATTATACCAGTCAATAGGAGTTGTCCATTAAACAGCTGGAACGCCTCCACACAACCCAGACCATTGAAGGGCTCTAGGAGGGCACAACGTGTACGAGCCAAGAAAAATCTACCACCTCCATTGCATTGCTCAGCAAAGGCACCTGGTGCATCTCCGTCTACTGTAGTCCCAATCCTTGGTGCTTCCCCCGCTCCCAACAATTCAACGGAGATTCAAACTATTGCCATTTCCCCAGTGACCCCAGCATTAAAGGCATATGAAGTCTATTCTCAGGGGATAAAGATGAGTGCAAAACCTGCCATGCATCTTTCTCGCTCTAAGATTGCCAGAGAAGCCGGTCCTTGTGTAAAGGAAGGGAATGCAAATGACTATCAAGTTTCAGGTCTCTTTAGCTCTAATTTTTTTTTATTTATAAAATTCCTGTCTTTCACTAGTTCTTGATAGAACGATGTGTTCAGTGAATTTCATGCTTATCTTCTCTTCCAGGTAAACGAGACTCTGATGTACTTGGCAACAAGTGGCCACCAGAGACGCCTGAGGATCCAAGATCACATAAGTCTCCAGTTAATGACATTGCAGTTGCTTCAAATAATCCAGCGGTTTTGCAATCCAAACCTGAAGAAAAGAAGAGAGTAGCAAGGAATTCAAGTATGCATTGCATGCACCACTTCTCAGACTGGATTATGTTCAATCAGTTTCTTTGAACTAAGTGCCTCAAATTCTATTCTACCTTTTGATGTATTCTGAGAAACAGTACCTCATCTTTTATTTGTTCTCAGAAGGAGAGTGCTGCGAAGAAATTGTTAGGAAAAATCCTGCAAAAGGCTTTCCGGGAACAAAATCCCATAACAAGTCAGCAGGCTTGGACACTATTGGATCCAGCCTACTGTACTCTAAGAAGACTAAAATTCTTTGTCCAGTTGGTTTTTCAGGTAGTAAAATGTTGCATTTCTCATAAAAACGCTCCTTATAGGTCTTGTCCATCACTTCTCTACACGCTTTTCCAACCTAAGAAAAGGTTGGAGTCTATCCTTGTTTGCATGAACATAAACTGCAGAACAAGGAGTTCGACCTGTTTTTGTGAACTAAGTGTCTCAAATTCTATTCTATATTGATGTACTTTGAGAAATATGACCACATTTTTTTTTTTTTTTTGGTTCTCAGGAGAAAGCTGTGAAGAACTTGTTAAGAAAAATCCTGCGGAAGGCTGTTCTGAAACCAAATCCCATAACAAATCAACAGGCTTGGACACTATTGGATCCAACCTACCGCACAATGAGAAGACTAAAAATCTTTCTCCGGTTGGTTTTTCAGGTAGTAAAATGCTGCATTCTCATTAAAAAAATTCTTTATAGGTTTTGGCTATCACTTCTCTACACACTTTTCCAGCCTAACAAAAGGTTGGAGGCTATCCTTGTTTGCATGCACATAAACTTCATATAAAGGAGTTTGGTCAGTTTCTGTGAACTAAATGTCTCAAATTCTATTCTATCTTTTGATGTATTTGGAGAAATATGAGCACCTTTTTTTGGTTCTCAAGAAGGAGAGAACTGTCAAGAACTTGTTAAGAAAAATCCTGCGGAAGGCTGTTCTGGGACCAAATCCCTTAACAAGTCAACAGGCTTGGACAATATTGGGTCCAGCCTACTGCACATTGAGAAGACTAAAAATCCTTCTCCGGAAGTTGATTTTTCAGGTAGAAAAATGTTGCATTCTCATAAAAACT